TGGCTCTTCAAGCGCAGCATCGTTTCTCATCCGTATTCAGAAGCGTCTGCACACGAATTCCTCTTTGTCGCATGACTCTACCATCTTCACCTTTGGCGACGCTCCCCTCCCTGAGTTTGATCTTTCCATCTTCGTTCCACCACCAAAGCCTGATGCGCAGAGGCTTGTAGAGCGATATTTCGACTATGCAGCACCGACTCATCGCTTTCTTCATCGACCAACGATTGAACAGCTGGTCGAGGAGTTCTATGACACCCAAGGCGAGATGAGAAGTAAAGAAGATGGCAAAGCAAAAGTTGCATTATTGATGGTAGTCTTTGCGCAAGCACAAGCATATATGCCACTCGGCAGTACGGTGCAGACTAGCAGGTTTGTCGACGCTGCCGCTGTTGTAGGCTCTGCTAATGTCGAATAGCGCTCGATACTTCCGCGCAGCCGAAGCGCAACTATTGCAAGAACGCGGCGCCGTCAGACTAGCGAGCGTTCAGGCACGACTGCTGCAATGTTTTTACCTCCTGACACAATCCCGTATCAACCACTGCTGGAGTCTCTTCGGCGAACTCTCGCATCTCGCCTTCGCTATCGGCCTGAATCGTGGAAGGAAATGCGATCCTTCGACCAAGGTGGACTATGTGGAGATCGAGAGCCGAAGACGCCTATTTTGGGTGGCATACTCACTAGACAAGTACCTCGCCGCTGCTCTAGGTCGTCCACGGACTTTCAAAGACGAGGATATCGATCAAGTAAGTGTATCTGGCGTCATCAAAGTTGGGGATCACTAACACAATGGGTCCAGGAGCTTCCTACCATCGTCAACGACAACGATCTCCAACCGAACTACATCAACCTACCCTCGCGGCTTACTTATTCCTTAATGACAGCCCCTGTTGAGCACATTAAGTTGACACGCATTGTGTCTCTCGTGCTACGAGACCTTTACTCAATTCGCCCGCCCAGTCTGGCCTTGCGCATCGAGCTGTCGTCGAAATATACATCAGAACTGCACGCGTGGAAGAATTCCCTGTCAGGATTCCTCTCCGGTTCGACCTCGATAGACCGTATCGACAACCAGCTGCTCATACCGGTCTACCAGCGTCAGCGTTCGGTGCTCAATCTGGCGTATCACCATGCGCTGTTGCTTATCCATCGACCCTTCTTACTCCGAGACTTCGCGAGTCTGACCCATATGGGCACCCATCCTAACTGGAGCGCCGGACTTAGCACAACATATGACGCATCGGCGAACATCACCGCATGCCTAGAGGCCGCCATGTCAATTGTACGCTCGGTAGACGACGTTTTCAAGGCGTCGAACCTCTTCCGCTCTTTCTGGTTCACCCAGTACTACGCCTTCTGTGCGGTGGTAGTGCTATACATCCATCGCATTCAGCAGGGCCTGGGCGTGAAGACCAAAGTAGAATGCGAGGGATATTTCGAGGCTGGTGTCAAATGTCAAAGACAACTGGAGACAGTCAGTGATACTGACTGCCTTGCGCACCGTTACTGTGTTGTACTGGAAGAGCTCAGGACTGAGGCAGTACGCCAGTCAGGCAGACTATCGACGCCAGTAGCCGACAATACCAGCTTCCAGGACACATCGCTCCTCTCGTTACCAATGTCGACGCCAAACCCCGATTCCGTCGCGCCTGCGGCGCATCTTCCACCCTTGATGTACAGCAGCAACAACAGTAACATCGACATCTCCGATGGCGCAGCGGTATTCAACAACACTAATAACAACGCGACCAATCCAACGTTCTCGTTCGATCTACTCGACTGGTCCGACTTCGCTAGCTGGGGACAGTTCGAGGGTCTCGTGACGGCCGGTAACGGCTCTTTCGATCCGGTAACGCAGAGCGAGAATGACTTCTGGTTTGGGTCTTGAGCGGGGAACAAGAAAAAAGCCGAATAGGCCTACAGCCTACATCAACATGGCAGAATACAAGATATGTGACCTAGCGTTGATCTAGGCTCTAGACCTGCCCAGGTGTTCAGCCTGGAACGACGCTCATAGAAGGAGTATAAGCATAATGTAATTGTCTTCATTCATACGTAAAAGAAACGCCATGATGCGTCCAATGGGTATCTCGAAAAGAAAAATAGGCTCTCCTATGCATACCCATGACCGTAAAATCATCTCAACATGCCGAATTCGTCATACGAGATGGTTTGATTGAAGTGATTGCACTATTTCTGAAAGCTTTTGAATCAAAACTTCAAGAGAAAATACAATCACTCCAATCAAACCATCTTGTATCACGTACTGCTTACCGCCTCAAAAGTCTCTGCCACCTCGACCTAGACGGCTGATCTGACTGCTGCACGGCCGTATCCGCCGGACCCGCAGCCACAGTACCATTCGCATCCCCACTCTGCTCCCCCGTCTGAGGCGCACGATCCTGCAACTCCACCGCCGGCTGAGCCTGCGCTTGAGCCTGAGCATTCGTCCTCGCCTCAACAGCCTGCTGTCTCCTGATCCCACTTCCATGCAAGAAGTACTGCCAATTACTCATAGGCCGCGGCGTAGGTGTCTGATTCGCAGTCCCCGCTTCCAACGCCGCAGGCGTCGCATCGCCGCCTAGCGCAATCCTCTCTTCCTCGTCGTGCTGATCGAGCGCTTCTTTGCTCATGTACATGGAGCGGCAAATCGGGCAGCTTGTCTTGCGCAGGACGAACCAGGAGACGAGGCAGTCGGCGTGGAATTCGTGGCCGCAGACGACGAGCTTGAGGATGGTTTCGGAGTCGGGGCTAGTGGTTGGTGTTTGGTCGGCGGGATCGGATGATGAGGGCGAGGTTGAGGGATCTGTGGATTGGGGGAGCGAGGCGGGTAGGGCCGCGGCATCGGTTATGGGCGTTTCTGGTGAGAGTTTGGCGGGCTCGGGAGGGGCGGGGGCATGGAGGGTTGAGAGGCATATCGCGCTGAGACGGATGTTAGTTGAGAATCGGGATGAGTATGGCAGTTCTTCTAAACTTACCATTCTCTTTCGAGCACCGAACGTGTCTCTACTACCCCAAGCGCTCCCTCGTTGTCGTCGTCCGCGCCGTCACGATGTTGCGATGATGAAGATCCAGTAAGACTGACAACCTCGGTGACTTCATTCAACTTCTCCCTCGCTTCCGCACGTCTAAGCGCAGGCTTCTTTGCCTTTGGCAGTGGGCGACGCACTGGAACAGGAACAGCTTGTCGTTTTCTCCGAATGCAGAATATACACAAACTATATCAAGAACAATTAGCCCAATTCTTTCCCCAGCCATCCCAGTCTCATAGACCCCATCCCTTTCAAGAGTCCAAGTAGAATTCCGAACAAAACTTACAAAGGCGCCACAATAGCAACAACGAACACGGGAATCAAAAAACTAAACGCCGTAGGCGTCATCCCAGACTGGCCAACGGTATCGCGCCATTCGCGCGCTTCCAGACTGCGAACAAAACCGTGGCTCGAAACCGCAGGCATTGTTGTTTCCAGACTTTGGAGAATGCGGAATGCAGCGTTGGCTTGGTTCGACTGACGTGTGTGGGGGAAACGCAGCTCAAGCTTGGTAGCTGGGGGGGAAGGGATGCGTCTCGACCTCGACACTTCTGGTGCGGGGAAAGGCCAAACGTAGGCGTGGTGGGATCTGCGATGACGGGGGAACGACGGAAGAACAGCGCGGGTATACCGGCAAAACCAGCGAGGACGATTGCGCGTACAAATCGCACGTCCTTGCGTCTATCGTATGCGTCCGTCCGTGTCGTGATTTCGATGTGATGGAATGATGTGTTTCCGCGGCCGTACACAAGGTTTCAAGATCACGCAAACAAGATGTGCGTAGCGCTCACTTCTTAACACTTGTTAGCAACCCCCATCTTACCCCGGAGGCCCACTTACCCGAGCGCTGTCGCGCTTCCTATGACACCTGCACCCACGCGCTCAGCCTCCACAGCCACGTCTTTTTTCGCCACTTCTTGATTACAGCTCAAGGAAGCTTGGCTCGGCGTTCTAGATGCGTGATGGGGACGGCTGGAAAACGCCGAGCTGCAGCTTATCCATCCTTATCACGGTCCGATAGTCTTGTAGGATGTTGCATGTGTGTGAAGTGGTCGGGTTGGTTGGGCTGAACGCTGGTTTACAGCGTCAGCAATAGCGAACGATGATGAGCGCAGACACCAGGACAGCGGGAAACGGGAAAAAGCAACATCAAACAATAAACCCAATCGTTCCCAACATCGCTGCACCTGCCCTCAGAGTAATCCCATCTCCAACAAAGCCCCAGCCTGCGCTTCCCCAATACGCACGCCTCACGATCCCCCAGCCGCTCATCGGCACGACCTTTTTCGTCCAGCTCAGGCCATTTCCAAGACTACTGTAGTGACTGCATCCCTGGGCTGACGTACTCCACCAACGCGCTAAATCCTTGGTGCGGTCTAGGCGCCGAGGCAGGACGCACTGTCTCGGTCTTGGTGTGAGTGGAGCGGAAAGGTTTGGCATGGCATGGCGGAGTGGGCAGGCTGTGGGGATATTGTGGGTCGGGCGGGCTGCGTGGTGCGCAAGCCTCCGAACAGACTTTGAGGGAAGGACGCCTGGAGGACTGTAAGTGACTCGTGCCGGGGCGGATTTGTGGTCGCGCTCGTCTCGTGATAGTTTGACTGCAATTCCTTTGGATTATAGTTTGGGTGGTTGGGCTGGACTCGCGTCGAGGTGCATGTTAGGTGCTGCTGCAGTGACGATACGCTTGAAGATCTAATTGGATGTCAGTATCAAATGCAGGCAAATGTGAAAATGTAGATGTGGATGGTAAAACTTCGTTGTTCAGTTCGTTGTGGTATCTAGATTACTATGTACATGCTGTATGACTATAACAGCCTTTTCATCGCAGCCATGATGGCAAGAGGTATCGCGATCGCGTGCTATGCAAACAACTTCAAACGCCTTATCCAGGACCAAGCCTGGCCCTAAACATTAAGAGCTCTCAAAGAGATTACTCGAAAGATATCATACTTCTTCGTGTCATTTCTTTGCTCATGCACTCGACTTCTTCTCGCCATCCTCGCCGTCAGTGCTGATAGCTGTGCTGAGGTATCGCTCAAACACGCGCGACTCCAGGTCGACGGAGCCCCTCCTGGCAACGCCATTCTTAGCATCGCGCTTCCTGAAGTACACGCGCTTGCCCCACTTCCAGGACTCGATGCCGAGGAAGAACAGGAATGTAGCGACGAAGACGATCGCCCATTCCCAGCTGATACCCTTGTGCCTGAAGACGGTGTCGTTGATGACGGGAATGTACAGGACAGGGAAGATGGTGACGAAAGCGAAGACGATGGAGAAGAAGAGGAACTTGTTGCGCCAGACGTCAATGGCCCATTGCGTGAAGTACTTCTTGGAGTTGGGCTGCATCATGAAGAACGAGCGGCGCATGTCCAACATTTGCCATGCCAGGAAGACGGAGAACCAGGTAAGGCAGGCGAAAGTAGTCGCACGAGCGCGGAAGACGGTGTCGCAAGTGTCGTTGAACGATTCGTTGCAGCCGTTTCCGAGGTTGCCATCTCCGAAGCCAAACATGACCAGGGAGAACGCGCCGAGACAGAGAGCGGCAATCCAGAGACCGTAAACGAACATGTCGAGGATGACCTCGATGGTGAAAACACCGCGCTTGAGCTGCGATTTGTTAGCATAAATGCAAAGAGTCAGTCACAGCAAGGGAAACTTACATTTTGAGGTGGGCGAGTGAGAATGTCTGGTGCAGCGACCTCGAAACCGAGACCCATGTCGGGAAGAGAGGAGGTAATCATGATGATCCACATGACTTCGACGGGAGACACTGGGAAGACTGAGAGTCCGCTCTCATCCTTGAATGCGAGACCAATGAGCAGAACACAGGCTTGCGCAATGTTCTGAGCGAGTAGATGGAGAATGAACTTTTGGATATTGTCAAACATGCGGCGACCCTCCTCGATAGCGTTCAGGATAGAGGCGAAGTTGTCATCGGTCAAAACAATGTCGGAAGCGTCTTTGGCAACATCGGATCCAGTTCCCATACCGATACCAACATCTGAGCGCTTAAGGGACGGGGAGTCGTTCACACCGTCACCAGTCATACCAGTGAAGGCCTTGCGTCGGTGAAGGGCGTCGATCATGCGGACCTTGGTGTTCGGGGCGCAGCGGGCAATGACCAGAGGAAGTAGGGGAAGAGCGTCGATTTCGTCGTCGGAGAGCTTGTCGAACTGCGATGCAGTCATGACCATGGCATCTGCAGTTTCCTTGGGAAGAGTGTTCATGTTCGATGGCACAATACCGACTTCAATGGCGATTGCGCGAGCGGTACCAGGGTGGTCACCAGTGAGCATGTGGACTTCGATACCAGCTTTCTGGCACTGGCGAACGGAGCCAGCAGTCTCGGGACGGGGTGGGTCGTACAGTCCAACAAGACCGCGGAAGATCAAGCCATTCTCAATGCTCTCGCGGTCAAGGTCCTGACCCTTCTCAGGTGATGGGCCATCGTACTCCTTGCTTGCGAGCGCCAAAACACGCAGACCCATGGAAGCCAAGGACTCCATGTTAGCCAAGATCTCTTCGCGGTAGTCGTCGTCAAGGTCAACACCAGATTCGCTCTCATCGTTGAATACGCGAGTGCAGGAGTAAATGACGCGCTCGACAGCACCCTTGGTGAATACGTATTTCTTAGAGCTGGCGGCTTCCTCGAAGATGACGGACATCTTCTTGACATCGGAGTCGAATGGGAACTCAGCGAGCTGCTTCCAGGCAGGTGTGTCACCACCGGTGTGTTCGAGACGGTTCCACTTGAAGCGAGAGGCAAAGACTTGAATAGCGATTTCAGTTGGGTCACCTCGTGCGTTCCATTGACCTTCGTCAGTCTGGTGAACATGGGCCAAGTTGGCGAGCGAAGCAACCTTGAGGTAATCGACCAGGTGCTCGTTGTCCTGCAGAAGCTCCTCCCATGTCTCCGTCTTCTCGTCAACATCAGGGTCGATGTGGCGTGGCTGTTTGGGGTTGAACATCAGAGCGCCAACGGTGGGGTTGTGTGGCTCGTCGGACTGCCCAACCGAGTATGTGCCCTTAGCAGGGATCCATGCCTTCTTTGCAACCATCTTTCCTTGTGTGAGAGTACCAGTCTTGTCGGAGCAAATATCAGTGACACCACCAAGAGCCTCGAGCGACTTCAGGTTGCGAACAATGACGTGACGTTGCACCATGCGCTTTGTGCCGGCGGCCATTGTGATGGTCAAGACGACGGTAAGGGAGGCGGGAATCATACTGAGACCAGTGGCTACGGCGTAGATGATGACCTCGCTGTTGTTGGAGAAGCTGTTGGCGGCCAAAACGATGATTGCGCAGACGACGGCGACACCGAAAAGGAGGATGGCGAGACGAGCGAGCTTCTTCTGAAGGGGAGTACCGACGTTGACACCAAGGAAATGGCCGACGGCATCAGCGGCAGTCAGAGACCATGCTTGAGCGTAGCGATGGGGTTTGGCTTTGCCATCAGGCTTGCGCTTGACTTCGCGGACGCGCGAACCCTTCTGTCGAAGAGACATGGCGATGGAACCAATCTCAGTGTACATTCCAGTAGCAAAGACGACACCACGGGCGCGGCCCTTGGTAACGGTCGAGGAGCTGTAGGCGACATTGAGGCGGTCACCAGGGCCGGTGTCCTCGTCGAAAACGGCATCGCCGTCTTTGTTGACAGGGAGGGATTCGCCGGTAAGTAGAGCCTCGTCGGTTTCAAAGTTTAGGGCTTCAATGATACTGGAAGCGAGTCAGTGACGTACAAACTAGTTTAGCGCAATTCAACGTACCGGATGTCAGCAGGGACAGTGTCACCTGTCTTTAGCTCAATCAAATCACCGGGAACAACCTCAATGGTTGGCACAGTAACAGTCTTTCCGTCTCGCGCAGCGGTGGCTGTTGGCGAAGAGAGTGATCGAAGCGAGTCCATTGTCTTTTCAGCATTGAACTCTTGGACGAAACCGATGATAACGTTGAGCAGAATGATGGCGGTTACTACACCACCCTCAATCCACGATTGAATGGCGAAGGACACAGCCATTGCAGCGATCAAGATCTGTAATTTGTTAGGATTGTTACATTGTGTGCTCATTGAGGTAACATACCAATGTCATTGCGTTGGCGACCTGCCTTAGCAGAATCTTGCCTGGTGATACACCTCCATCGTCGCCCAGATCGTTGTTGCCGTACTTCTCATGTCTCGACTTTGCTTCCGCAGTAGTCAGACCGTCTTCGTCGTTACACTTGATTTCGGCGACGACGTCCTTCCATGGGAGGGCATGTGCGGGTTTGGAGAGAGGCTCGTTAGCCTGGCCGGACTTGTGGCCCTCGAGAGACGGTGCCTTCTTGCCCATAGTGAGTGATTTCTGGTGCTAAGAAGTGAATGGGATGCAGACAAAAGATCTAGATCCGGGGACATGGCAGACTTTAAACAAGCAAGTTGGCACGCGGGTGCACACACCATGAGAGCAGCCAAGAACCGTGCGATATCGAGAGCTTGGCGTGATGGTGACTATCTTGGGACCGGTGCAGGGAACGTCATCGTCGGTAACGGTCGGCACTCGTCAACAAAGAGATGCATGCATGTCCGCAAACGTTTGGTTGTCAGCCCTCTGGATATACTGGATGGCACATCTGACCCTGCCTGCCTTTTACCACACTGCACAACAGCATCATCGAGTAACGTTGAGACGATTGAGCGGCAGATGCCATCCCAAAGTGCTGTGAGTAGTGCCGGGCATGACGACAGCGGGGTTGGTAACACCCGTTCACCAGCACTGCGAGCGGGGATGAGTGAAAAGAGGTGGCGAGCTGTTCGGTCCCAGCCAAGCATCCCGCTCGCCTACGATCCGCCTAGCCGTGCTAATTTCTCGGCGCAGGCGTAATTGTGCCGACTTCCGTACCGAAGCCACAACACCAACGTCATTTTGCGCCAAATTCCAAGCACGCTGCCATCGACTACAGATGCTCAAGCCACTTACCTTCACGCACACCCTTGCGCCAAGCCTCGATTCTCTCGTATCGCTCCAGGCGCCCAACACCTTTCCGAGCGTCCTCCGTGGAACCTGCTGAGGTCGTCACGCCGCATGCTAACGGCGAAGCTTAACACCAACATGACAAGGCGTATTTCGCCTGGATATCCCCACTGAGACGGGCCCAAGCCAGCCTCTTGTCGCTCTTATCTGTCACCGGTGGCTTGACTGCAGCGCCGAGCTTTCCGTCGCGGGTCACGAGACTCAACAATCATTCCTGCAACAAGCACCAAGGTCCGCTTACTCCACACCTTCCATCTTGATTACGGAAGGTTCTAGTCGCAAGCTAGATCGGTCGTAATACTTGCGTCTATAACGTGCTCAGTTGCTTTGTCATGGTATCACAAAGGCAGAATCCGGTACACTGTGAGCACAATAACTTCAATTGCCGTCATGGGGATATCATATATGAGGGAAAATTTGCATCCATTTGACAGCCGTAATGGCCTCAACTCAACTACATGCGCATAAAAGTGGGCTTACCCCACTTCTACCACGATTCAGACAAGCACGCAAGCGATGGGTCTCTTGGAATATCCCACGCCTTGGCATGCCTCACGCCATTTCTCTGCCGCGGTCTAGTCTAAGCATCCCAGTCCTCCGAGCACCCATCGGAGAACCAAATTTTGTCGCTTATATCTCTGTCTAACATTTCAACGGCGATGCGCTCTTTCACAGCGCGACCCAGGCTCGTTACTACCTCATCTCCTTCAGCTGCAAGCGAGAAGCCGCCAGTGAGATGCTCAGCTACACTTTCGGTGGTATACATTCCGGGTCGGTACATATTGTTGAATCGGGGCTGGTATTGAGACAGCCTGGCGAATCGAACGCTTGTCAGGCAAGGAGACATCATCAACTGCTTGAAGATCGTAAACCAGGTTGCGTCTTTGAGCTCGACGAGTCCTGGTTTCAGCTTTCTTCCATTGACCTCTTGAACCACATCATCCTCGTCGGAATCAGAATCTTCGACATCCTCAAAGTCGGAGGGCTCAAACGCATCTTCGTCGTCATACCAACCATACAGATTCAAGCCACAAATGTGAAGGCTCTGCAGAGTTTTTCGGTGCTTGAACAGAAACCTCTTGAAAAGAGGTGATGCCATCGGACTACTACGGATGTCGAGGTGCGTGAGAGTAGGGAACTGGGTCCATCGAAGGAAGGTGGGCACATTCTCGTTACACAACGTAAGTGACCTGAGATTGCCGCTGACGGACTGCAGCAACGATGTGATCCAATGCTTCTCAAAGATTTCGAATGTGCGGATGAACTTCAAGTGTGTGACACGATGCTGCACACGTGTCCAATCGGAGCTCGATATATCGAACGGTCGTTCCTCGTAACCCAATCCCATCGTATGCAGTGCGACTTCCAGAGTCCAGTCTTTGCGATCTTCGATACCTCGCAGCGCCGAGAGCACTTTGGCGATGTGGCCATGCAGCTTACCGCCGCAGGCCTTTCCTTCATTGCGAAGCGCCCATTGAGGGCCAGCCCAATGTCCGTAGGCTCCCCAGCCCATTTCGCGGAGGATGCGCTTTGAGCCCCAAGCCTCAGTCCAGGCAGCAGCATCCTCGCTTTCATTCGGGTAAGGGTCTTTCAGGTAAGAGTCTTTCGGGTAAGAGTCAATGCGTATATGCTTCAAGGTTGGGAAACCTCGCAGTGCCGACTTCAACATCCCCACTGCTTCGTCGCTGGCATCAAACTCTTCCTGCTCTTCAACAAGCTTTGCATGCTTTGGCCCGTACGTCTTGGGCCAGTCTTCCTCCTGATCTTTAGACCTGCAATTCTTTAGCTTCCAGAAAGCCATGTATCCGTTCACGTGCTCAGGTCCGATAGCCACTTCTTCGACGTAATTTCTGAAAACAGGATCGGTGGAGATGCTCAGAAGGCATTGGAGACTGGCGCGGGACAGCATATGTTTTCGGGTAGTGAAACAGCGTTTTGTCCAGTCGTCATATGTCGTTTCTTTTATGCGCCGGCTCGTGGAGCGGAGATTGCACAGGTCGTCACCAGAAAGAATGGCCTTGCCCTTGGCATCTGTGCTTTGCGTTACTAATCTCATGAGCTCGACGGGTAGCGCTTCTAGGCCTGGCTTTGAAGACGTCGTAGCTGCTGTGGATATGTCGAGGGTCTTGAGCTCCTCGGAGAGAGCCTCTGGATCTTGCTGTGGAGACGCCATTGCTGTAGGTATATTGAGCTCCTTTAGTGGGTATGGATGGTTTGCGTCAAGTTCGTGGTTGTAGCAATCCAGTCGATGAACACTTTCTGTGGGCTGAAGGAAGAATCGGAAGAGCTTCGAGACTTAGACTTTGAAGGCTTTGAGGAAGGTACCAGCGGTGAGGGAACACTGCTGAAACATCGTATTGGCGCTGGAGCAATGTGAATGCAGCGATCTAACAGTCGCTTCTCCTCGCAATATGCTTGAGAGGCTGACTTCCGCAAAACTGACTGTGAAGCGATATATCACGAAACACCACATGTGCTTTTTCACATTGTGAAGTCTGGGATAGTGAAATGCCATATGCATGCATATGAGATACCCCAACTTCTCCCCTCAACATAGTAGCCATGTGTAAAAGCATCTTCAACGAGCGTTGTAACGCTTTCGATAGTCGTCGCCACCACTACTTGAGTGAAAGTCCAGGAACAATCAGATTGAGCCAACGCCTCCTTCTACCATGCTTGGAGCAGAGCAGTGGTTGCTTCCAACAAGATGTCTAGCTCGGAGGCAGTGAATGGCAAGATAGGGGAGTCTCCAGCATCAACATCCGCCACCACAGCATTAGGAGTGACTTCGACTACATCTGCGCTTTTCGGTTCTTCCTCGAGGATGACGCGGGAAGGATATAGCTCCGAGTTGTCACCAGGAGTGAGATTGAACACCGTGCCTGGACACACCATTAGTCAAGTCCATTCCGTGGCTGTCGCATCTAAAACTTACCGCGATAAGAAAGACCAAAAGTCCTGTCCATCCACGCAACTGCATCCCAAGTCCGAAGATCATAGTCATCCCATGCCTGATCCCAGCAGCACTCTGGAACATCAATACTCCACTCGATACCCATCGAGGGAAGGATATCCAGCGCGGGGTGCGGATAAGAGATGAATGCAAGGTCCTCGTATCCGGCTCCAACCCAACTCGAGCATGCAACACCAATGCGTTGTAACAGAGGAAGCTTATTCCGATAACAAGGCAAGGTCGTAAGCCACTCAAGGAATGTAAGCTCCGGAAAATGCACCTTCAGAGTCTCGAGGGTTGATGGCAGAATCTCATCCGCCGGCTGCAGAATATGCGACCATTCCGGATCAGCTCGTCCGAACAGGCATTGATAAGGTACCAAAAGATGCTTGAGCGCCTTGAACTTGAGGAAGCCATCTCCAGGTAGTACGTCGTCTAGAAAGTAGGTGTCGACCTCACCGCAGTGAGCAGATACGTCTAGTTCTAGTCTGGTCAAAACAGCTTCCACTGGCTGGAGCTTCCGCAGCAAGACATTGTAGCTACCCGGCGTACTGTTGTCGAGAGGGAAATCCTTGCGGTGTTCGGCTATTCCGTCGTCGACATCGTTGAAGGGCATGCGCAAAGTTTCCAAACAAGGAAAGTGTGCGAGAAAGGGAGACAAGGCGTCGTAGTAGGTACAAGCTGAGTTGAGAACGTCGGATTGTACTGGGACTTTGAGGAATTTGACAGCAGAATTAACTTCAGAAGAGGCCTCATCGGCCAAAATTTGGCTGGCACGAGTGAGAACAATCTCCTCCAGATATGGAAACTTGGCGAGTATCCAATGGAACTCAGTGCCTTGAAATTTGAGGCTTTGTAGCTTCTGTAGTCCAGGGAATGATTGGAGATGTGCTATGCGACTATCAAAATTGAGGAGTAGCCTGCTCAAGCAATCAGGAACGAGCATGGGCCTCCCACTGTCGTCTTCGTCGTACTTTGCAATCGACAAGCTAAGGTGTTTGAGCTCGGTCATTTGCCAGAAAAGAAGGGCACATGCGATGAAGACTTCTGGCCATCTTGCATGGATGATAGAAGGAAACATCGCACATTGTGGTACAACACCATACGCTGAGGTCTCGATACTTATTGGCCGATCAATGACTTTGATGTTGAGACTTTCGGTCTTTCTGGATAGATCAGGCCGCGACTGGATCGTCCGGTAGAATGGCCATAGATCTTGTGACTGAATGTCGTCGTCCTCAATGTGCCAGCCTAGGATCACGTCGCGATATAGCTTTCGTTCGACAAGCGCGCGCAGCTTGGGGCTTATACATGCGATGCTGGGGAGACTGCAGGGCGGGCAATGATGAATAACGGACTGAAGAAGCTCTGTGGGTAGTTTTCCCAAACGGCTGTTAGCAAATGGAAGAGCGCTGCCTGTAGCTTCGTGAGAACCTGGTGGTGAGGTAGTATCCATTGCCACAGGCGGCGTAGCCGTCTAATTTCCCGATGAGGTGGTGTCAGTGGCGACGAGCTCGATAAAGTAACGTACATAAATGAGAGGCAGTGAGTGAGATGAGAACGGCACTATCCCTTTTTGGACTAAGCGCGGTGCAGGTAAGAGAAAAGGCTGCTTCACCTTCACTTGCTTGATGTAGGCAACAATACACTGATCCCACTCAACATGCTGTATGATATAGAGATGAGCATTTGTGCATTGGCGAATCGAAGGCCGTCTATTCATGGACGTCCTGGAATCGTCCTGGCACCGCGACAGTGTGACCTACTCAGGCAATGCCCTTTCTTGTATGGCTTGATATAAACGCTGCTCCACAGCAGTGCTGTTAAAGAAAATTGCCGCGTCTTCGCGTGACCACGATACGTTCACAGACGCCGGAATCTGGTTAATAAACCATCTGGCAAAGCGCTCCAACCTCTCGTATTGAATCCGCTGTGCTTCCAAAGCTTTAGGATTCGTAGACCCCGCTGCAGTTGAGCGGTAGAATTCACTCTCCGTGAAGGTGATACTGATATGCTCAAGCTTGAGCATGTAGTATATGCGGCCCATGGGGTTCATCCATGATTCTGAGGGGTAGCACCCGCCGAATGGATCTTTACGGAACTGAAATTCCAGCTCTTTCAGAAGCTGCAGGATAGTCGGGTTTATTGTAGTTGACATGTGTAAACACTTGAGGCCGTGGCCATATTTTATTGCGCTTTCTTTGTCCATAAGGCCGGGTTCCACTTGAATGAACATTCTTCGGCTCCCGTAGAAGAGCTTCCTCACTTCATTGTGTATCTGCCTGTTGGTTCGCATGATGTTGAGGCGTGGACGCGTGACGTGTTGACGTGAAGGGTCAAGGACGATGCGAGGCCCCGGGGGAAGAAGGAACGAGTACGTGTGGAGGCGGAGCTCAGCGGGAAGTCGGAGGAAGGGAAAGGGTTTGGCTATTCCATATCAGCAGGGTCAGAGTATGTGGTCCCTTCTGTACATACCTCTTTCCTCAAGTATGGCAAAGGCGCTTTCGAGGTTGGTTTCGCAGGCAATGTCAATATCTCGCAGTAGGGGACGTATCTCTGAGAATATGGGTGGTGGCCCCGCCCATCCGGATAGCTTGTACTTGTTAGCATAGGGCCTGCCTTGCAGGACGTTCTTGTATGCTTCAGCATAAGCATCGGCAGTGGCGCGCGGCCCCGTGAGGCCTTTTACTACGAGGTAGAACCTCTCCGAGCCAGCGACGTAGACAGATCCTCCAGATGGGTTTGTTTGACAGGCATCGTCAATATTGGTAATATCATCTTCGCTAGGACTATCTGGCCGTATGCTCGATATGGCGCGATCGAGAGCTTGTAGCTTTAGCTTCAGATGGCCAGCATCTGCGAGAGAAAAGCGCTCCGTGTCAGTAGAGGGTTTAGGCAGAGTCGGCCGCACGATCTGTTGTCGGGCGTTCAGATCGTGAATGGTGCGAATGACCATGGTGTTGAGGGGTGGCGGTGTGGTGACGCCGTCGACGCGCGACGCGAATGGAAGAGCAGGTGGCTGCCCCGCGCGTTGGCCAGTGATGTAACTAGCCGCTCCGGCCATGCTGCGGCCCTGAAATCAGAAGCACATGCAAGACACCAGCGAGCCCATGCAATCCCATGTTTCTGACACCTGCCACCGCCCGATGACTGTATAACATGCCTCGTCCCGCCATTACCCTCTGAGCTACTCTCCATCGCCAACACGTTTCCTCGACGCGTCCATCTTCGCGTGCTTTGCCGATCGCCCCGCCCAAGGCCGCTGGCTCCACCCTTCCAAGCTTCACGATACCACGCAAAGTCCTGGCTGAGCAAGCTGCGCGTTGGCGGCGACGCCCCTCCAGTCGACAGAATGGCTGCCCCGGATAACAAGCAGGGCTTTCTCTCCAATCTATCCCCATGGCCTTCACGCGCCGGCACCCCCAAGCCCCCGGCGACATCCAAGGCCGAGGGGAGTGCGGACAAGGCGAAGAAGGCTGAGCAGGAGAAGGAGAAGGAAAGAGCTGCGGCAGTACTTGCTCCCCAGCAAGGAGGGGATCATGTGATTGATCGGAGGTACAGGCTGAGTCTCAAGCGGTACCCCAAGGACTGTCCTCCGCTGGCTGTGAGGTGGTTTCATGCTATAGATGTAAGTAGTCAATATACACCTTTGGGCTGTCGTCATCCCCGCAGCGCTCCTGCCTTCTGTTGCGGCACTGACTTTGGCAGACACCCAAGCGCAAACCACTCTCCAAACATGCCATGGCCCCAGACACGGCCCTTCCCAAACCCAAGAAATGGATACCTTTCGGCGCCAGCGACTCTCGCGCCATCGAGGCCGCCTTCCAGAAGACTGCCGACGAAGCCGATGCCGACGAACTGCGAAAGGGCATCATCAGCCCCACGACGCCCACCCAAGCGAGCGCGACTCCTCCCAAAACCACAAAGGTGCCCGTCAACGAAGACTACCTGTTCGATGTCGAGATCGAGACACGCGAGCTGGCGCCATCATACTGGCTGGGTCCTGTATACGATGTGAAGCGAGGGACGTGGTTCACACCGGATGGGGAGGCTGTCGATGAAGGTCTAGCCATGCAGCTCGAGGAAGGCTACCTGAAAGTCAAGCCATGGAAGTTCGGGAAGCCGGAAGAGAAGCGAGCAGTATCGCAACCCCGCGCTCGGCCACTCTCTATGGGCCCAAGTGCTGGTGAGGACCACCGCAAGGAGCTGGCCAGGCTGAATCGCGATTCGACATCCAACCCAGTCACGCCCAAGTCGTCGTATGATAATCTACAGAAAGAGGCTTCGAAACAGTCGAACGATTCCAACCCCGGCGATGCATCTACCACCTCCAATGCGCCCGCCGACTTACCGCGCACACACCGACTGTTCGGCGCACATCTGAACTCCACCGTCACCTATCAAGACGAGACCACAGCCTGGATGTTGACCGATGACATGTGGTCGCGCATGGGCAGTACCCTGTATCAGCGCTTTGCTGGAGGAGCGCATTATGCTGGGTACAAGTACATCCGAGGGTACACCGATCCCAAAGAAAAGAAGAAACAACCGACCCCAGGGAAGGGCCCTCAAAGCGCAAAACAGGAGGACCGACCGGCTACACCCGCCCTGGCATATGGTTCAGACCACGGCAAGCAGTCTGACTCTGACGCCGACGGAGAAACGTCGGAAAACGAGCGAAGCATGTCGCCTTCCCAAACGCGCAGGCGCAATCTCGAACGACAGGTCTCGTCACTGATGACATCCTCGAAACCAGAATATGAGCAACAACAGGAAGAGGAGATGCGAAAGCGTGAGGAGAAAGAGATGCGTGAAGACTACAAAACCCAGCATGGCAGTGATCAAGATCGTGATATTGAGCATCTGCTCTTAGTAACACATGGCATTGGACAACGTCTCGGAATGCGAATGGAGTCTATCAACTTCATTCACGACGTCAACACTTTGCGCAAGTCCCTCAAGTCTGTCTACTCAGCTTCGCCCGATTTGCAAGCCCTGAATGCGGAAACGGACTCAGAGACCAAGAACAACCGCATACAAGTCATCCCCATAATTTGGCGGCATTTATTGGACTTCCCTAAGCAAAGCTTGAAGCACAACCGCAAAGAACACGACCTAGGCGATCTCGACCACGAAGATGAAGAGTATCCTAACCTCGAGGACATAACCGTTGAAGGTGAGTTGGGTGATCCCGTCCTGAGCTAGACCCGATAACTAACAACACAGGCGTTCCCGCTGTTCGCAATTTCCTTACTGATCTCGCGCTTGACATCTTGCTGTATCAAAGCCCCGCTTACAAGGGCCATATCTCTCGCATCGTCGTTAATGAATTAAACCGCACCTACCGCCTATTCAAGGAGCGCAACCCGTCTTTCAAAGGCAAAGTGAGCTTAGTCGGGCACTCGCTCGGGTCTGCCATCATGTTCGATATTTTATGCATCCAAAAAGACCCAAAAGCCAAACCAAGCGCACAATCGGCCAAACAGCGAAGGTCTACCGAAGAAGGCCTGAAACTGGACTTTGAGGTGGAGGATTTCTATGCTCTTGGATCGCCTATTGGCCTGTTTCAGATGCTCAAGGGGCGTACCATCGTTGGGCGACCGCAGAATTCTACCACTGGATTTGTTCCACCAAAGACTCCTGCGACTTCGATTGATGACCCCTTCTCACAAGGTGGAGACGAGCATGCGTTCGACATCACGACTTCCTCGCCTCTCTGTAAGCAAGTCTTCAACATCTTCCATCCGACCGATCCGATCAGTTATCGCATCGAGCCGTTGATATCGCCAGCGATGTCAGCCCTTAAGGCTCAGCCTCTACCTTATACCAAAAAGGGCATCTTCGGTGCGCCTGCATCGCAAGGCTTTACTGGTATTGGCCAGCGCGTTGGCCAGGGTGTGACAGACTTTTGGACTTCTCTAGGATCTGGTAAGTTCAGATCGCCTCTGTTTACCTGAGATATTTGTTACTATGAGCTATCTGCTGACAACATATGTGCTAGGTATCGCCAGTGGACTACTCAACCGCAGTCTCGGCATATCAGGAACCGAGATGACAGGCGCAGGCAGCAATACACAAGGACAGCGTACCTCTCGACCCCTCACCGCCGCGGCGCCCGCCCCAAATAGCGCTGTAAATCTCGTTCCAGGACTCAACGAGCCTACCAGTGCCTTCATCAGCGAAGAGCGTCGCCGCCGCCTCGGACAAGAAACCATTGCCGAGGGCACAGATGGCGAACACCCTCCGACGCTTATCGAAGGCGACATTGAGACACTCTTTGCTGGTTTCCAAAAGCGAAGAGCGAGCCAACAAAGCGAAGACGGCGAGCGAGACGTAGAGAAGGATCTCGAATGGCAGGAGCTCGAAGAACGAAGTCGCAAACTTAAGAAGGAGGAAGCTAAAGTCCGGGCGCTGAACAGTAACGGTCGTGTGGATTACAGTATACAAGAAGGCGTAAGTGACAAAATCCTCTCCATGTGTAGCTTACGGTTCTAACATTGCAACAGGCCTTTGATATCTCGCTGCTGGCGAGTATAGCGAGTCACATGACATATTGGGCCGACGAGGACGTTTCGCATTTCATGATATCGCAACTTTTGGCGAGACATCGCGTTTTCAAGCCGAAGGAGTGAGTATTGCTTGAAGACTAGGCAGTAGATTGATGATATACCCTGAATAGATTCCTGATATCTTCGATAACGGCTGCAAAGATTACGATAGCGAGTATCATGGGATGACTTGTTTATTCTGACCTGTCTGGGTTGTTCAGGTGTTGTCATCTTGGGCTAATGCACCCTTCCGCCGGTGATTATTCTAGAGACGACAGGTCATTTCTCCGCCAGGTGTTTGCTGCCACGCGCGGACGTGCGTTTGCTATGCGCGCAGTCTTCTTTGTTTGTTTCCCTTACCTAATAGGGCAGTTGCGCGCTTTCCTTACTTTCACGCCCCGGAATTCGCATTGGGAAGCGCGTCGCACAGACTTTTCGAGTAGCATGATCTCACTGACCGCGAACAAGGCAGTCGCGACATCGACCCGCACAGCCACCTCTCCATCCGCACCCGCAACGATGGCCACTCCAACAACCAATTCGACAACCGTACCCGCTACCGCTACCGCAACTACGTTCAATTTCCTACGTCGCATCAGAACGCGAGTCGTAGATTTCTTGCTCCCCGAAAACATCCGCCAAGAATATCGCAGGATCATCGCGCCCCTAGCCAGATACAGATATGCATTCGTTGCACTTGTCGCCAGTACTCTGTTTGCTATCGCAGAGTATGAGCAGCCCGTGTACTTCCCCAGACCCCAAGAGTTGACCAACGCCGTGGTATGTACGTCAAGGAAGCTGCGTAGATAACATTACTAACGGCTTGTAGATTGGCTTCCTGTGTGCGAGCATGCTGATATTCGCTGCGTTCGCCTTGATGGAATACACAGAGACGCACACCTGGCCTTGGGAAGACGAGGGCTTCGTGTGGCCGTGGCAAGCGCTGCTGTGGAGTCAGACTGCATATGTCGATGAGACGATGGGAGAGAGCGTCGCTGCTTATCGCAACATGAACATGATGGCGCCCTCGATCCGGGTAGATGGAGGTGCAGAAGCTGTGGTACTGGAGGAGACTGCATCTTGGAACGACAGTACCAGATCCATAGCTGATTCCACACTCGGCTCTACTACCCCGGCTGCTCGCCCGCTCGACCCGACATCGTCATCCCGCCTACGCCCTTGCTACCTGGTGGCCTTCGACCCATCCATCTTCCACCACCGCCGGTCCATCATTCTGGTCTCTTGGGGGAGTCGCCGGCGCCGATCAAGTTCAAACACTTCAGCGGGCACCTGAGCCAGGGAAATGTTGATGAGGAGTAGATTGGGATAGCCTAGAGGTGTACGCGAACATTTGAAGCAAAGTACGAGGGGATCTTGGAATGTCGCGCTATGCTTCAGCGGCCTACAGGCTGGGAGATGTCAAAGGGCTAGTCGAGGATATCAAGGGTAGGTATAATGAATCACTTCAACAGAGGCAAGCATGGTTTGGAGATGATATGAGAAGGCAGAAAAAGTACCATTCTCAGCTATCTACTAATCGTGAAGTGCAGTACCCATCGCGGACCAGCCGACAACAAGCATACAAAAAAAGAGCAACCAAACGGCGCTCGCAAACAAAGCTGCACCCCACCGCCTCAATTCTGAGCGCGAGCCGGCTTCAGAAACCTCACCCAATGGGCTTGGTGCTTCCTCACCAACTCCTCCAACTGCCCAAACACCGCCGCGTCCAGTTCTCGCTGCAGTTGAACCTTGTTCTCCTGCCAGCCGTACTTCTCCAGGTAGCGCCACGCCCGCGCCCACAAGTAGAAGTCGCCCCCTACGAACAGCTGCTGCTGACCCCCATTGTCAGCGACAAACCCAGTCACCAACCCATCCACACGTTCCAGCACGGAGATGCATTGACGAAGAGCCACTGTCCCACCAGGGGGCAGCGACTGACCAGATCTGCATTGCCAACGCAGGAGGTTAGCAAACGCGCGAAGTCCGTTCTCTTTGAGACGAAGATTCGTCTCGAAAGAGGCGAGGGAAGAACCGGAGATGTAGTCGGCGATCTTTTCCAGACCGGTCGAGCTCACAATCCAGAATTCGGCTGCCATGACCAGCGGGATGCTGTTGAGCCCGGCGTCGGTAGGCTTCTCCTGCTTGGAGGTGTTGTCGTCGGCGTCATCCTTGATGCCCGGGGCAGCGACCTCGCGGAGTTGGTAGATGACGTTACCGCCACGGCCAGCACCGCGACGGCGCGAGGAGGGGCGGGAGGCGGGACCAGAGGAGAAAGACGAGATTGGCGCGAAGGCCAAACCGGCACCAAAGGCGCCACCGAAGGAAGGAGCGGGCGCAGGCGCGGCAAAACCAGCACCGAAACCAGCACCGAAGGACGGAGCAGCAGCACCAAATCCAGGCCCGAAGGCAAAAGAAGAGGAGGGGAGAGGAGCGGGCGCGACAGGTCCAGGAATGTCATCAGCCTGGGGCTTATGGTCAGCCCCAGCTGGAAGAGAGAGGGAAGGTGGCAGCGCGACAAATCCGGAATTGTCGTCAGCCGGAGGCTTATGGTCAGCCTCCGCTGGGGGAGAGGGGTGTCGAGGAGGAGGGAGAGGAGCCGAAACCGAGGATGTGAAGCCGGGCAGTACCAGTCCCAGGGAGCCCGAAGCATGATTAGCAGGTGTCGCCAGCGACAACCCACCAAACAGAGGCTGTAGCTGTGGTCCTGGTGCTGGAGCCGGAAGCGGGAAGATGTGGATGAGCCCTTCGGGCTTCGACGGGATGCCGGCCAGGATTTCAGCGACTGTGCGCTGAGGCGGCGGCGGCGCGACAATGGGGGCGGGTGGTGCCGAAACAACCACAGGAACCGGAGCGGGAACAGGAGCAGGAAGAACTACGACCGGAGGAGGAACCGCAGCGACAAAAGGCGAGGGGGGAGGCGAATTCGGAAGGGGAACCAAACTCGCAGCCATTCTCTCACCACGAACCGCACGCCAGCGCCACCCACACACCGGATCCCAAACTCTTTCTATCTGGCCAGAGGCCTCGGTGGACCTCACGTCCAGGAACGTGTCGTATTTGCCCTCAGCGGGCAAGTATTGCTGCTGTTGCTGCTGCTGTCGGGGCGGCGACAGGAGGGAGCCAGGGCGAGCCCACTCAGGGACCGGAGGAGGAGACCGGGACCGAGCACGCGCAAGAGCTCGACGCTCTCGGCGCGGCAGCGAAGAGGAAGGCGAAGATGGGGCGGTATGCGGACCAGCCGCAGGGACCGAAGAAGAAGAAGAGGAAGGGGGAGAAGCCCAGAAGTCATCATGCTCGCAAGCGAGCCACCCCAGGAGAGTAAAGACGGCAAGAAAGAAGAGGAATGCCATTTTGGCAAAGATATGTGATGGTATGTATGTGTGTGTGTTGGAAATGTGTTGGCTGGAGAAAGAAGAGAGGGGACGGGGGAAATCGCTCTTTATATATTGGACATCTGGGAGCTGCTAAGCTGGGAGGAGCGGTACAATAGCTATCTTTCTATTGTGTGGTGGATTGAAAAGTCGAGGTGACTGCTGGAGACGACAATAGGAAAAAAGTGGAGAAGTGAAGGTGGAAACTTTACCTCTCGTGTTCGTCTTCACCTCGGATTATTGAGCGGGTAGGAGACGCATGGAATAGCGAGGAGGTACTCACGTCGCCAGTGGGCTTTACAAACTTCATACAGACGTATACGTATATCTCCAGGCTCACCCATGACGTCTCTGTCTATCAAGCAAAAGTATGCTGCAAACCTCCAGGCCTACCCATGATGCCTCTGTTCACATACTGCCAGTGCGATGTCGACCTCAACACCCTACCACTCTCTGACCTCACCCCCAGGCCCAATAAACCCCGGACTAACCCAAGCCTTCGCATCCCTACTCTCGCGTCTAACCATCTCCTCATCAACCTCAATCCCTAACCCAGGTCCCTTCATCAACTCAATATACCCGTCCTTCACATCCCACACCTCGGGATTCTTCGTATAAGACGTGAGATCCTGACTACCAGCATTATAATGTATACCCAAACTCATCTCTTGAATCGCGAAATTGGGTAGCGTGCAATCAACCTGAACACATGCAGCGAGGGCGATGGGACCCAAAGGGCAGTGCGGTGCGATGGCTACGTCGTAGGTTTCTGCGGCGGAGGCTATACGGCGCATTTCTGATATACCGCCTATGTGCGAGATATCTGGTTGGAGAATGTCGACGCAGCCGGCTTCGAGGAAGGGGCGCACGTCCCAGCGGGAATGGAGGCGCTCGCCTAGCGCTATTGGGATGGAAGTCTGGTTGTGAAGAGATGTGATACCCGTGATGTGTTCGGAGAGTAAGGGTTCTTCGATGAAGAGTGGGTGGTGTGGTTCTAGGGCTCGAGCGAGTTGCTTAGCCATGGGCTTGTGGATGCGCCCGTGGAAGTCCATGCCGGCGTCCATTCCGAGGTCTTTGACGGTTTTGAGGCGGTCGACGGCGGATTGCAGGACTGAGGGGGAGTCGAGCCAGCCGATGTCTTCTGTTGCATTCATTTTTACGGCGTGGAAACCTTGGGCTTTGCGGGCGAGACTGTATGAGCGGGTTAGTAGCGCTGTAGTCTCATTAATTCGAGATACTTACGCTTGTTCCTTAACGTCATTTGGTCTGTCTCCGCCTATCCATGCGTACACTTTGAGCTTGTCGCGTACTTTGCCTCCGAGAAGTTGGTAGATTGGCACATTGAGTTTCCGAGCCTTGAGATCCCAGAGTGCAATGTCGATGCCAGCTTGTGCGCTCATGAAGACTGGTCCACCACGATAGAAGCTGGTGCGCCAGCACATTTGCCATATGTGCTCGATGTCACTGTTTTGTCGTCAATGTTGATGCCGCTTCGTGAACTACGAATTGTCATACTCTGCTTCGAAGCCAACGTAGCGCTCAGCCCAGGCATCTAAACATCCCTCGACTGCCTGTGTGTGACCTTCTAGTGATGCTTCGCCCCAACCAAAGTTTCCATCTGCATCGGTAATCTTGACAAACAGCCAACGCGGTGGGACGCGAAAGTATTCGATGGTGGCTATCTTTCCCATGGCTCACGACCCTGCTTTCCTCTACTATCTCTTTTGTTGTTTCGGGTTGTCAATGACAAGTCACAGTCGGAATCCGGAGGATAATCTACATGTCGAATATGAAATAGCCATCTCCGTCTACATCATTTGCACCTCGACCAATCAGCACAATGCCGCCGCCATGTCCCCTTCGCGGTAAGCCGAACGGCGGCGCGGGGTCAAAAGGGCCAGAAGGGCTCCACCGCGGGGCGCATAGCTTCGGCAGCTGGAGTAAAGCAACCCGAGGAACGGCTGATCAAGACTTGCAATAAAACTCGCGGGACTCGCTGCGCGTAAAAGCTGTTGCTTCACATCCGACTCCAGTAAGCAGAAGAAACGCATCACTAAGCGACAAGAAAGCGATTCTACGCACGAGCCACAAAGATGACATCATCACCCCCTACCGGCGTCTTCGTCCCCGTCCCGACCTTCTTCAAACCCCAATCCGAATCCAAATCGCTGCAACCCGCTGTCGACGTGCAGACTCAAGTCGAGCACTCTGTGTTTCTTGCCAAAAATGGCGTGCGCGGTCTCGTTCTGCTCGGCTCCACGGGCGAAGCGATTCACATGTCGCGACAGGAGCGCATCGACCTTGTCTCTGGTGTACGGAAGGGGCTAGAAGAGGCAGGCTTCAAAGACTACCCAATTATGGCTGGTACATTGATCAACAGCGTGGATGAGACGCTGGAGTGGCTGGAAGACTTCAAGAAAGCGGGTGCGCAATGGGGACTTGTCCTTGCGCCGGGCTACTTCGGAGCCGCGGCGAGCCAGGGAGGCATCAGAGAATGGTATACCATTGTCGCGGACAAGAGCCCACTGCCCGTACTTATGTGAGTCTCAAGCACTTGAAGTTGATGTATCGTACTAACGAGGCGACAGCTACAACTACCCCGGTGTAACCAACGGCGTCATGGTCACCCCCGAAACCTACCGCATCCTCGCCCAACACCCCAACATCGTCGGTTGCAAGATGTCGCACGCCGTCGTCTCATGGCACAACCAAGTCTCCCTGGACCCCAAGATCGACCACAACAAATTCCGCGTCTACTCTGGCCTCGGCCAACAACTCGGTCCCATCGTCATCTTCGATGCCGCAGGTGTCATCGACGGTCTCGCAGCCATATACCCCAAAACCGTTTGCTCGTTGATGAAGCTGGCGGAGACAAGACCGATCACTGATGAGAACCTCAAGAAGATGAAGGAGTTGCAATACACCGTTAGTACTGCGGAGGAGTTCATCGGCAAGTATGGTATCGTGGGCATCAAAGAGGCTGTCAAGAGGGTCACCGGTTTCGGCACAATGGAGGGCGGAAGGCTGCCCCTCAAGGGTAAGCTTCCTGATAGCGAATGGGAGAAGTGGAGTGAAACTTGGGAGAGGATACAGAAGATGGAGAATTCATTGAGTGAGAAGGACTTCAAGTAGAGAAAACTTTGTTGATCTAAGCGATCGTAACGATCGAGCTTCAGGTATCCTCATGTCTTGAGTGACATTGTTTTGATCTCTTCCTCAAAGTTCAACGTCATCACGTCGGCTAATCTAGCACAGTGCTTTCCTTCTGTCAGCACCCAAAGCAGAAGTTCACAACGTTTATGAACAAGGCATGGGTCACGTACACAGACGGCGAGCAATATTGCTGCTACATATACTGGCCTAACGAAATACCAGTCGAACTGATCCTAATCTCACGCTTTACCACTCTCGAGCCTGCCGCAGGCAGTGCACTACGTCAAAATGGCTAAGTTGGATGACCTGCCGGATGAGCTGATACTCAACATACTCCATAGGATTACCTCCAATGAAGCTGACCAGACTACTCTAGCAGGTTTCGCACGTGTTGCAAAGAAATACCGACCCGTCGCAGAGGAGGTTCTTTACCATGCGCCTATCCTTCCCATCGGATTCAATCATCATGGTGCCGTTATGCAATTCCTGCGAGCGTTGATCAAGAACGGGAAACTCGCGAATTTTGTGCATCATCTCGTCCTTCCAGTCACGAAGCGACTGCACAACGATGAGTCAGAATGTCAAGATCAACAATGCGTGCGCGGTCTGGGGGAGCTCAAAGATGACATAAAGCGCCGAGTGGGCTTCGACTATAAGCTTTGCACTCAAGTTGAGGGTGAGAAAGAGATTTCCATCGACGGAAAGATCGACGGACAAACCATGCCTGCATGTTATTTCGAGCCGTCACTCGGGGGTCTAATCCTCAGCCTGCTCCCCAACCTGGAAACACTCGACATGCAAACCTACCAAGAACCATTTGGCCCGGATGAGCATGGTAAGGTACCGCCCAGAATCACAGAGACAACGGTCCAGGACTGGTTCGGTCCTCAAATCAACCAGGTTCGCGACAACGCTGTTAGTGGTCTTGCTGGTTTGCAGCACCTAACTTGTGAAGAAATCACGGACTTTGATTTCTTTCGAGGGCCGAATCTAACGTCATTGGAGTTAAAATGGGATACTTACTTGGGAGCGAACCCTATCGCAGCCCCAGTACCCGCAGTCATTTCTACCAGCATCACTTCTGTACATTTTGAGCTGGGGATTCAAATGCTCGATGGAAGGAGATGCATCAGAAGCGAGTATCTCCACGCTCTTTTGCAGGGCTTGCCAGCGCTTCGGAAGATATCAGTATTTCTCTCCTACCCTGAACGGCACTCTTATCTTGACTTTGAGGATAGAGACGACCTAGGTTGGGATAGCATCATCGAAGCTCTAAAACACGCAGCGCCAACGCTTGAAGAGTTGTTTATTGATGTCGAGGTGCCCTTTACGGATGAGAGCGTATCCACACAGGCCCGGTCCATCGCCACTTCACTGCGGCATTACAAGTTTGACAAACTGAAGCGGCTGCGCATCCCGAATGAAGCGCTATGCAGCGTACAAATGAGTCATAGGGTTGATTCGGTCGACTCGCTTCCCTTGGGCCTAGAGACGATCGAAGTTGTAGACCCTGATTACCGCACTCTGGTTTGGGTGGATGCCCTGACAGTTCGTAAACGTGAGGGGCATCATGCTGCACTGCGCGCAGTTGCATTGAGACAGCGGGATTGGGTCGAAGCCGCGCAAGTCTGGTCAGATGCGGAAGAGGAGGGCATTGCGATTATTAGAGCCGTCTTGCCCACTCACTAGCTGCTAAAATATTGTGGCTCATAAGTTCGTAAGGGCATCTTCATGTAGAACCAATGTATCACACGTAACACCATGATGAAGACGATGAGATTGAATGAAGTGCAAGGGTGAGTAGCTGTGATGAGGCGCGCCGAGGTCGGACGCGACGCGCACGCGCCTAGCAGCTGATCTAGATCAAGATAAGATAAGATCAAGCAAACTCATATTGGATGTTCTCCACCCAAACATCGAACCACGCGCAAATTTTCGCCAGCCACAACACGACTTCCTTTTGAGACCGTCAGCCGCAATGTCGACTTCAACAGATCATTTGCGGGTGTAAAGCTCGTACCACCGGAAAAGAGCCGAAGATGGGGTTCAAGCCGTCTCTGGACCCGCCGAAAGGACCCATCTGATAAGATTATCCCATCAACACCATGCTTCGAAGGGCTAGTACCCCTTCAATGCGCACCCATCATGGCTAAGGCCTTACCCAACATCTCGTGTTCGCCGTTCAGTTTTGCTGTTGCGACGTCGTGGTCAAGCTCCGGGATAAGCTCTAGTTCAAGGCGTCCAACGGAAGAAGCTTTGGCTTGGGTATGTCGGCCCACACGAGTATCACGCTTAGCTGCTGCTGCCGAGCAGGACCCAGAGTTGCGGCAATGTATTTGAGCTTTGGTGCCCTGCGCGGTAGGCAGATTGCGATGCGTTCAGTTCGTCCAGACAGATTATCAGATCGTTGAGACACGCCTACAACTATGGATTACATCGCTGCTGTCCAGCCTGGCACCGAGCCTACGAGGCAGAAGAACATTGACGTTGTCGATATCGACGAAGAAGATGCGATTCGCAAGGTTGAGGAAGCTAACATGCCTTCTGTCTCTGCGCAGGAGGGTGTTAGGGAAGTCGAAGCTGTTACTTTGGCGTGGACCAAGACATCTCTAGCATGCGCATTCTTATGGTACGTCGCTGGAGATTCTAACTATACGCCGACGGTGATACTGACACAACTCCAAGCATGTGGCTCTTGTACCTCACGAATGCGTTCCAGTCATCCATTACCTCGAACCTCACACCATACGTCACGTCCGGATTCGAAGAACATTCCCTCATCACCGTCATTACCATTGTCTCGAACTCCATGGCTGCAGCCGTATACATCCCAACCGCCAAGCTGCTCGATCTCTGGGGTCGTGCCGAAGGTTTCGCTACAATGGTGTGCTTCGCTACGCTTGGCTTGATCATAATGGCTGCATCTACAAATCTAGCGACGTACTGTGCTGCGCAGGTCTTCTACACTATTGGATTCGGTGGTATGACTTACTGTGTGGACGTCATCACAGCGGATTCGAGTAGTCTGAAACACCGAGGTCTGGCTTTCGCATTCACGTCTTCGCCATACATTATCACAGCATTTGCTGGTCCAAAGGCGGCTGAGGGCTTCTACAACAACATCAACTGGCGTTGGGGTTTCGGTACTTTCGCTATTATTCTACCCTTTGTCGCCGCACCACTGTTCTTGCTGTTGAAGCTTAACCTGCGGAAGGCGAGAAGGAACGGCGTCCTCGAAAGAGAGGCGAGTGGCAGGAGCCTTTTGCAGAGCGTCGGCTTCCATATCCGCGAGTTTGATGGTCAGTGTCTTCTACTATGGAGAATTTGATGAAGGCAGGCTAACAGCTCAATAGTTCCGGGAGCCTTCCTGCTGGCCGCGGGTCTCGTCATATTCCTCCTCCCGTTCACTCTCGCCGACTCAGCACCCAACGGATGGTCTACGGGGTACATCATCGCGATGTTAGTCATTGGCTTCGTCCTACTGATCGCTTTCGGCCTCCACGAGCGCTTCACAGCCGGAAAGCCTTTCTTGCCTTTC